GGAGAAGGAGGAGGTCACAGCCAGCATTGTCCTGGATGGATATGATCTTTCAGTGCTTTATTTTCATGAACACAGACCACTGAAATCTTACCTGTGCACAGTAAATGCAGTTGTGTTAAGTAGTTCTGATAGTTAATGATAACTTCAGGTGCTAATGGAACAAAGGGAGAGGAATAGACCTTTTTGCTTTTAAGATAGCTGAGAAGCAAAAATTCTTCTATGTTTTGTTTTGTTTTGGTTGTTTTTCCTGAGCTAGTCTGTTAAATGCTGAATGATGAGGTAATTTGCTTTGTAATGAGAAAGAAATTCTCACACTGAGCTTTTTATGGGTATTTTATTAGGGAATCTTTAAGCTCTATAGAAGTACATGATTTTGTGTATGCTGATAAAGTGGGGCTCCTGGATCTTGGTTTCTTCAAGTTCTAATTTGGGCAGAGCGAAGTGTCTTGTAATGAAGATTCCTGCAAATTTTTCTTTTTTGCAAAGGCTTTCAACGGGAAGAAAAGATTAGGGATATAATTGTGATTCATAATTATCTCTGTACGCTCCAGAAGTCTTGTCTTCTGTGTAGTCACAGAGATCCATTATGTATGTAGTGTGAATGATAAAATTGTTACCATCTGTTTACATACTGATAGCAGGTGAAAATAAAGCTATCAGTGTAAATGACTTACTGTTATTAAAGCTGAATTTCTGTCTTGAGCTAATAAGTTCTGTTTGTGTTCCTCCAGTTCAATTCAAAGAATGCTCTATTATGAATGAGCTTGGAGATTAAAAACTAAGAACACTGGTACATCCTTCATTAAAGATGACACTATTGAATCAAGCTTTCGCTTCTAGCTAAATAAAAAAGATTTTTAGCCTAGTTTGGTTGTACCTCAATCCAGAATCCTGCTCTAAAATGGAATGCAAGAGTTCTGAAATGACAGGATGCAATTGGTGTGGTCAAAATGTTTGTAGTAAATTTTCACACTTACTGGTAATTGTCATTAAAAATCATTCAGTAAGTATTTGAGTTCTCATTAAAGTGTATTTCTTTAATAGTAGTTGTAGATAAGTGTACCTTATCTACTCGATCTATGTATTGTTACACTGTTTCTTTCTGTAATAAGTATTAGCATTAGTGTGTATAGTAGAATAAGAAACCTTGATACATTCAGTAAAACTGAAGTTAAATGAAAACTACATAGATCAGATATTTAAATAAATGAAGTTTAGGTAGTTTTGCTTTCCAGACTCCTAGAAAATCCCAGGCTTATTATTTTTTACCACTTTGTTATAGTGCCAATTTATAGAATGTGCTAAATACACTGATTCCTTCTCTTTAGGTTGAGTGTGTTTATAAATGAGAACATCTTACACCTCTAGTCCCAATGGGCTTTTTTTTCTTGTGCCCTTGTGTTTTGCTCTCTATTAGGAGGTAATGCGTCTGTAGCACAATGCCAGCTGCTTCTTTCTTAAATGTTTTTTTTTGTGTCAACACTAACTTTTGAGAATCAAGCACTACATGAAAAACTCTCCCAGTGGAATGCAGCTCTCTTCTGTTTTCAGCTTCCTGTAACCAGTAGCTGGAAGGACATGTCAAAAAGAACTTGTAGTCAGTCTTTGAAGGTCTTGTGCAAAGTGTTAAGAAGTTTCTGGCAGGTCTCTCTTTTGTGTTTGCTCTGCAATCTTTTATCTTCTGGAAGTATCAAAGGCATCAACTGAGTGGCCTGGTTTTTTGTCTGATGTTGCAGCTTCTGTGGTGAACATCCCTTAAATTCTTTTTTTATAGTGACTATGGCCCTGGAGAGAGGCCTCCTTAGCTGCTGGAACCCTGGTGCATTCTTTATCATCACAGTTAAATCCCTAATGCTCTTTCTGCTGTGGCACATTTATTGTTGATGCCAGGCTGTCAGTGCTGTCTTTCATTTGCTTTGTACGTGCTGTCAGTAATAGGTGTTACCTTGGGGCAAGTGAGCACTTGGTGTGTTCTGGTACTTTATCAGCTTTTATTCAAGTTATTGGTATATTGATCTGAAATCCATAGCAGATGTTATGGTAGAAGTAATGACTTATCCTCCAGCTGATTTGAGATCTTCAACCTTGATTTCTCTGATCGTATTTTATATCCATTTGCATGGAAGAAACCAGAAGAAATCATGGAAGGCTAATGATAGTGGTCCTCAGAGCTAAAAAATATGGTTAGGTGGAATAAACAAGTAATAAAACATGGGAATTAAATATTGCTGTTACACAAATTTGCGATAGTTTAGATTCCTGTCTAATGGTTTTTCATGAAATACTGTAGGCATATATGGCTCTGCTTCCCTGGAATTACTGCATTGGTTAAGTCACTACATTTCAAGGTGGTGTTTTAAGCTACTAATATTTTAATAGTAGGAAGATTATATGAAACATATAGAGTGTGACAGTAACTTTGTTAATATTACATGGTATATGACTGGAAACTATTTTCTCCACAGCTCTGACTTGTCTTCTTCAAAATTAAGCATAGTTAAAACACTATTCTCTCTGTGCTCATCCTATTCATCTTTTTTACTGACATTTTTTTGTCTTACAAGCCCTCTGTTAATAACATTTCTTATTTGCAGTTTGGTGCTTCATAGATTAAAAATAATAATGTTGAGATTACAGTGTATGTTTCTACAGTGTTACTTTAAAATATAATTTCAGTAAAAGTATTTGGGATTTTTTAGTGCTTACTATGTTATTTCACATGTGAATGTGCAACTTGAACAGAGAATTTGAGTCTGGTATCTTCATCTCCAGAACTGATTGCAAATCTGGAATAGTCAAAATATTTTTCTAATTTGACTTTGTATTATATTATGTAAGATTGTATTTAAAGGATCCACAGATGCAATTTATACATTTATATACCTTTGTGTTTCTTTTTCCTGGTGTTTTTGGTGAGTTGTTCATGGCAGCAGTCTGCTGACTCTAAGGCAATACATGTTTTTCTAAAATTTTTAGACTATGCTCAATAATTCAGTAATGTGCCATTATTACCCATTTAATGTATTCTTGCCATTAAACTTTCATTTGCTTTTGTACAGTTAAATGTCATTGAAGACTGAACTGTACCAGGTTTGTCTTAAGATGAGCAATTCAACAGTCCAAGCTTGAAATTCTAACAAGGAGGTTAAACTTATTTTCAATACACTGAAAATACAGGTATTGCTACTGTGCTTGCACTGGTGTGGCATTTTATAGGCAGATATTAGTTTCAAAATCTTGATATTTATATATTAATATCCATCACATTGTTGGTTTCTCTTTCTAAATGAACATTATAAGCAAACAGCTTTTCTCTTGTGCTACTGAGATTTAAATTGAGAGGAGAGAATTGCTGGGAGAAATTTATATTAGGTAAAGTTTTCTATTATACTTTTAAGAACCAATTTTTAAATTACTGTTTACATACTTTTCCGTTTGTTAGAGCAGGAAAATCCAGATGGAATATTAGGCCTCTTTCCAATGGAAGGTATTTTCAGCTTTCTTTCATGTTTGTGCAATGACAGCCTTTTAGGTACTCAGCAGTATCCAAATGCTACAGAAATGTTATTAATAGAATATCCACCTGAATTTCCATTCTTTATTATACAATTTGTTGACTGTTTTCTGAAGGATCACTTTTGGGTTTAGTCTAATCTCCAAAAGAATTTTTTGTTATGATTTCTCTATATATCTTTGTCCCCTACTTAGTTCCCCATTTGTTTGTTGTTTTTCAGAGACTGGGATCTCAAATACGTTGCGTAATTAGAAATGTGATGCGAGGCAGCCTCTCAAATTAGAGTCTTAAGTCTGGGGAAAGGCTGAAGCGTGAGCTCTGCTCTATTAACACTCAGAATCCACATGGAAGAGAGTCGTTACAAGGAAAAACCACAGGGAGCCAGGCTGCATGATTTTTGTAGTTCAGGGAATAACTTGCCTTTTGTTCTTGGGGTTTGATATGTACAGCACAACGCTTTCATCAGCTACAATTGGGTATCAGCAGAACTAGTTTAATCCTGTACCAGCTGTGGTTTTTCCTGCTGATTTGTGACTTGGTGGATATAAACAACCACACAGAAGAAAACAGCAGAGTGAAACGTACTTGCTTTGAGGCAAAGTAATATTTCCCTTAATAGCTTGCATTGCAACCTTCTTGTATTTGCAAAATAATTGTTCAAAAATAATTTTCTCAGTAAAGGGGGGAAAAAGCCACATTTTTCCATTTAAAAGCATTATTATTAAAACTTTTAATGATGACTGCTGAGTCAAAAGTTCATCTCAGTCTCATTTCTAGACTTCCATACTTCCTAAGGAAAAGAAAAAAGGCTTGTGTTGTTCCATGGTGCTTTTCTCACTAATAATTTTTCAAAGCTGTTTGTCAGTTTACTGGGGCTGGTGGGTGGATATTTCATTTTTGTAAGTTCTGTGAAATTACATAGTTGAGAGCACCTCAAAAAAGTGTACCTAGGACAGGAAGCCTGGGGCATGAGCTGTGTGGCTGGGCAGGAAAGAATCCACAGAGAAGACTTTTGTAATAAAAGGCAAAGAAAATTAGATGTCATACTATATAATTTTGTCATTGATGGTTATGCATGTTTAGCATATAAAATGTATGTCCGTAATGTGGGGAACATGACATCACTTGAACACAGTGAGAGATCATAGAGTCTCACAGCCAACTAACTAATTTTTACTATGTCATTTCACAGAATGTATTTTATAAAATTAATCCTTACTTCAAAGAGAAATGTCCAAGATATTTATACATTTTATAAAGTTGTATATTCTGTTAGTGTCAAATCTTCATCACTGGAAAGGGGTCATCTAATGGAAGTGTTAGTATGAACTTGCAGGCATGTTAATACATAATAGTGTCATATTTGAAAGCAGAGCAGCATTTGCATGTTTTCCAGTTTTAACCTTTGTATTGATTTTTCTTTACCTTGTTTACTTTTACTGTTAGATTACACTGAATTTGAATAATTTTCCTTAACAAAACCTTACAGCTTTGCTGAGAGTGCTCGAGAGCAATATGAAAAATTGTCCAATATGCACAACAATATGACTAAATTGTATGAAAATTTGGGAGAATACTTTACCTTTGATCCCAAAGCAATAAGCATAGAAGAATTCTTTGGTGATCTGAGCAACTTCAGAACTCTATTTTTGGTGAGTATTGTCTTCAAAATATTATATATTTTCTAGTATCTTTTTTTCCCAGTTTTAACTCTTTCCTTATTTGTCTTTTTTTTCAATTATAGTTAACTTTATGTTTTGTCCTGTGGCAGGAAATTGGGTGAATGTTTCCAGAATTATATAGATTTTGATCACAGATAGCTCTTGTCCTCCAGTTTGTAACCTGACAATTGAACTGTGAATAAGGTTGAGACATATGGATAGTTAGAAAATATTTTTCCTCTCTTAACTAAAATTGTCTGTTGGCTGACACACAATAAACAGACAGGATCTGAAAAACATGTTAAATCCAGACTTGAATGGAAGTTCCTATACTGATATTGTGTTAGAATCTGGCTCATGCCTTGGTAATACTGAAATCTTGGAGATGAGCTCTGTATTGCTGACACAAGTTGACTTAGGTGCTTGTACCACCATTTCCAGTCATCCAGGGTGATCAGGATGATCATGATGTCCTTTTTATGAAGAAATTCAAGAATTTCATTTTAAACAGTGAAGTTTTTAATGGGTTTAATGTCATCTTTCCTAGTGGCTTTCCAGAAACCATAATTAACTGCACCATAGGAAGTGTACAGGGAAAACAGATGCCTGGAATGTCACATTGTGTCTCCAGAGAATACAAACATGACTTGGAAATACCACTGTTTGCCATACAGCTGGGGCTCACTGCTCTGCCTGTTGCCAGGAGCTGCCTGAATTTATCATGCAATCATAAGAGTTTGTGTGGTGGAGGAATAACTCCTTTTAAACATAATTAGCAGAAGAGGCTGTTGTGAAAGGTTTGGTGCAATTAAACCACCCTCTATAGTTGAATCCTTCTGCTAGCTTTGATTTGAAGCAAGTACCTTTTGTATCTTTTCAGCTTTTTAAAAAATGTAATCCAACTCCTGTATTTCAGTTTCATACTGAATCAATTTTAATGGTCTTTCTTGCTTTTTAAAATTTGGATGCATGTTCTAGCAGAGAACAAATGAAGTGTAAGATCTCTTTCTGGTAGGCAAATGTTTTTCTAGATAGAAGAGACATACTCCAAATAGTCTTTCTAAGTTTCCTAAGAAGTAGGACTAATTTCTTACATTGCTTTATAATTTTAGGAAGTGGACAAAATAATTTCCTAGGATACTATTCTAATGCTACCTGTTGGTCTAAATAGTTAATTATATCCATCTGATGCTACAGTCTTTAACATTTTATCAGTCCTTTCATCTTCTAAGCCTATTTTTAACAAAGTTTGTCACTAAGGAAATGAACTTGGACCATATGTATGATGCATACTAATTTAAATAAGAATGCTCCAATATAAAATAGTGAAATCCAAGGCCTATGTAGCTTGAGGAGACACTTTCTTTTCCACAGCATCACTTCTGCTTCAGTCAATTCACTTGTTCAGATACATCCAGTAGTAGTAGTAATTGTAATTAGGTCTTTTGAGAATTTCTTGACTTATTTTATCCACTAGAGCAGAACTTTGTAGACTTTAGTGGCATAAAGATTGTTGTTTAGGGATTTAATGTTTTCCAGACGCTTGAGTAAGGCCTAGGGCAAACATTAGAAGTTCACAGTGCAGCAATTTATTTTTTTTTTCCTATAAGGAAAAAAATTACTAAAAAGAACTAAGATTTTCTGCAATATTTTGATGTCTGCAAGAAGCTTCCCTTAAAGAAAGGAAAAATATACTGAAACTGCTTTAATCTCTAGGATTTTCTGTAAGAAAGTAATAACTACTGATAAGAATTCAGGAGCAATCAGATAAGACTGAGGATATACTGCATCTCCACACGTTCCCTAGAGCATGCATGTTTATTAAATTTGTCCAGTTCAGACTGGTGTAATGCCTGCATTCTTTCTCTAAGTGGTCCCATTAACTTCTTTTAGTATTTGGGTAAATGATTGAAGTATGATGTCAAATATTTTTGAAATCTTGATGACTGGTTTCTTCCTGTTTATCATTCTCCTATATTCTTGCTAGTGCCTGACTGTTGATAAAAGCTTGTTTCTTCTGCCACTAGCCATTTTAATTTAGAAGTTGAGAAGGTCTTCAGATTGCTGCTTCTGATTTTGTTGATCACATTTCTGTTGTGGACCTTTATGACAACAAGGGAAATCATAGAAACATAAGGTAATTTGTCTAAGGGAGATGTGAATATCTCCATGAGTGCAGATTCTGTGACTGGGAGACTGCACTGCAGGCTTTGCTAAAGCCAAAGGAAGCAGTATCCATTGCTTTTCCCTCATCCACGGAGCCAGGCATCTCATTAGAGAAGCCCATCAGGTTGGTCAGGCACAATTTACTGTTAATATGTCCGATGTTGCTGTTTCCAGTCACCTTCTTGTACTTTATGTACCTGGAAAGGGCTTCCAGAAGGAATTGCTCTGATCTTCCTGAGCACAGAAGTCATGGCTGACCAGTGTGTAGTGCAACAAGGTTCTCTCACTTTCTTTAAAGATGACCTTATTTGCCTTTTCCAAGCATTGAATATGTTTGAGTCCCACAACTTTGATGAAATAGAGGCCTTGCAATGACATCAGGCAGCTGCCTGACCTGTCTGTGAGACGGTGATGGCAAAAGGTTGTGATGGAGGTGGCAAAAGTGTTTCAGCCCCTCTTTGATGTGGGGATTCCATCCTCCATTCAGCTGCAGGCTGATGGTTTTCTTCCCCCTCCTTTGTCTGTCCTCGTAGCTATAAAAGCCTTTCCTATTGCTGTTCTCATTGACAGTTTATCTCCATCTGAACTTTGGCTTAATTGCTTCCCTCCCTGGGCAGTATTCCTCCTGGATAGTTTAGCTGGCCTTCCACTTCTCCATGTTTCTGGCTTGTGTCAGAACTCCGTCAGGAACGCCTTGTTCAGCCAGGATGGCCCTTGTCCCACCTGTTCAGCTTCCCACATGGCAGGACAGGTGTTGCTTGTGCTTTAAGAATGTTTTCCTTGAAGGTTAGTTGGGAATAATGAACACTTTGCATATACATTGCATTTTAATTGAAACTGCAGTGTTTATAGTTGAAGATAATTGGCCTTTGTGAGCACTTAAATTCAACATAGCCCTTCAGAAAAGCTTCACTTGGCTTCTGTTACATTTGTACAACAGCTGTTTCCCTTTGCTTAACCTATGATTCTGCTGTGGAAAAACAAGAATACTGATTAAATAGGTTGATTGGAATGTCAATTTTTCTTTGTTTCATTTACAACTAAGAAATATGTTATAAAGTGATGCAACTTAATTAGGTTATTTAACAAAGGTGGAATATATTTATGAATGTTTCTAAAGATGAATCTAAATTACAAATATATTTTGAATGGCAAATCCCCAGGCCACAGAGAAAATTCTCTCTATGTTTTTATATGTACAGATACACATAAAAGTAAATATGGAGCTTCATGTATGTTGGTCTTATAAAACTCACATCAAACTAGTTTAATGGTAAGAAAATACCTGGTCTTTTAAAAATTCATTTTAAAAACTTTTGAAAATTGTTGAAGGAAGTGCCTTATTTAATGGAAAATAATGCTTATTTTATTACTTGAAATGAAAAAGTAGATGCATGCATCATCTTTTCTAATTGCTTGCCTTCTGCAAGTTGGACAAAAACAGTATTTAGTAAATGCACCTCCTCATGGTCTAAGCATTCAGCAGTTGTTGGGCCGAATGAAAAGATGTAGAGTTTATGAGAAAAACATTTTCTGGAAGTCACTGTCGTTTTTCATCCTTCATTCTTCTGATCAAAACATAACAGCAAAACAGTGATATTCCTTTGGGTCCTGTAGTTTCTCTTCAAGTTATTTTCCAATAAAATTTTCCACACAAATAATTTGTTATTCTATTATCCCTAAGCAACGTGAGGAAAAGCAATTCTAAGTAGGCAGTGTAGGCTGTTACAGTAACTGACCTTTCTCACTTTCTTCACGAGACTTATTGATTAGGGTTGGAACACTTTCTGTGCTTTCCCAGCAATAGACAATTACCCCTAAACATTGATTCTTTTGTGGGCATTTTTTTGTTGTCCTTTTTGTTCTGAAAACTGTACAAAGTCTCGAAACAAGTGCCAAAATTAAGTGCAGTCTTTTTCACTTAGTTTGTATCAGCACCTGTCTACCTTTGTGTGAGAGAGAATAAGTATTTTTTGGGCTGTTCTGATATGTCAGGAGCAGGAAGAAAATTTTATATAGGGAGTTGACAGTCTCACCATGGAAACTGCCCTTTGTATAATTGCAAATTGCCAAAAAAACTTAGAGCCCCCCCAACCAATCCACTGACCAGACACTCCTTGTGAGCCCTTTCAGTTCACTGAGCTGCAATACAGGGAATTGGCCTAGAGATGCAGAGAGAAGAAACAGAGTTAATTTATTTATTATTCTATATCTGCTCCCATTTTATCCCCAGGCTTCTCTAACCATTTTTGCAGGAAATGTAATTAGAACCAGGGGCACAGTAAGACAAGGAAATAAAGTGTGCATCATGTTCTCCCTCTTGCAGTCAGACATTGTGTCCCTCGTGGCTGTGCTGATCTTTGCTCAATTCCATTTTTTTAATTTGTCTTAAGATTAGGTAGAATATTTAGAATTTTGAAGTGAGCTTTTAAACAGATTTTTCCTGATGCTTGTGTCACCTCTCTCACATTTGCTTCTCTGATTTTGAGCTGAAGTCTGTCTTTATAACCTCACCATATCCAAGGAGGTTATCACAGGTAGTAAGTAAAGCACTTCAGCAGGACTCTCCTTTGCCAATGGAACACGAGTCAAATTCAAGCCTGAAGGAGGACAAGAAAAAAGGTGCAGTTAAAATAGTAAATCCACTGGATAATATCATCTCTTTTATATTTAGGACTATTCTGAAGAAGAAATATTTTTTTTTTTAGATTTTATTGATTTAGTCCTTTATTCCATTGAAAGTAAACACAAATTTCGATTGTCCTTGAGGAAAATTGCAACCTGATACATTTTGGCTTGATATTGTTTCAGGCTCTTATCAAATA